TTTTCTCAGGTTTTCGGCTGCATTTGCTAGACAATCAGCTGTATGAACCTCTTATCCTGGAAAATGAGTAAAATCTTTTTTCTACGAATAATTGGTATAATTATAGTTCATAACGAAGTGATATGTCTTTTATCCTTAAATAACAGTTCATGAACGGGAATTTGTGCATACTATGCAGCACAGCTTTTCACAGCAGGGGTCCTATACACACATTACTGCAAACATTTGTCTACTCAACTAGTTACACACTTTTGTGGCACATCGATAGCAATAAATTGTAATATTAAAACAATAAATAACTTCAGCTGCGTAAATAAACGAAGTACTTACAGTTACATTTATTAATACATATTTACATATGTACATACGTATAGGTCTTTGAAATAAATACTTACCTATTTGCATATTTGTTGTTGTTTGAAAGCTGTGTTCATTAAATTTGCTTAGGCATTATCGACTTTGGTTGGTTAAGTCATTGCAAGAAAAAAGAAATCTCTGTATTTAAAGTGCTTTATAAAAGTTAAGGGACAACAACTCTTCAAAAAACTTCGCCAATTGCCTTTCTCCTTTGCGAAGTTCCACCAGTTGATCACCACAAGCGTAGACTTGGTCCAAACGAATGTGGCTATAGATAGTTCTTTCGAAGGCCCCTAAAATCTTCTAATCTTTTTTTGAAATTGTCTATGTGTCTGCGTCTTTTAGAAAGACGGTCATAATATGAGATTTGTAGCGACTTACTTTAGTTCATCAATATAGATCCTTTCAATTACCCACCGAGTCTAAAGTTGCGCTTATTGACAAGAGTTAATTTTCGATTGATCTCCAGGCATTATGTCAGCCTGGTGCTGTCAATGCTGGATCGCTAGGTAAACAAAGTTCTTGAAACTAATAACTGCCAATAGTGCAGATTTTGTTATAATACGCGAAGATCTTTTGTTGCCAGGAGGTACTTTGCCTTGCCCATTTCACTTCTAGACCACTCTGTTAGGCCTACGATGTCAATAAGCTGCGTTTCATGTAGTCAGCTTTTCAGCATCAGATTGAAGTGACGCCCACTTTTCATATAACGATAAATCTCAGAAATGCTTGAAACTTCTATACATATTTCGAAATTTAAGGACACTAATTTACTCAGACTTGATACTACCAACAATCCCTTGAAAATAAGTAACATTATTTGGAATTTCGGTAAATGGGTGTGATAGCGCCCATATATGTAAGTTTATCTCATTATTTCTAACTGAACATTCTATGGAAGATGTTTAAAATATGGGTAAAACCATCCCTACTTACCATGTAGTGGTAGTTTTCGGAAAGGTGAAAAAACATATATTTAAACCTTGCGCCGGGTTCTGGTCCTCCCGAACTTAGAATTTCTTTCTTGTTTCTTTTTGGTATTATTGTTAACGAAACTTAGACAATTTACAGAAACGTCTTAATACTGCGACTAGTATATAAATAACGATATTAACGAGCAATATTAATTTAACAATTTTAGTTTAAAAGCAAATGCTTTTTACCTTCCTTTTATTAACTCGGGATGTAACTATGTTATATTGATGCGCCTCAAAGATGCAGCGATTTCTATGCTCAAGTTACATACCTGATGACAGTATGAATGGCAATTATAATAGGGAGGTTTTAGGTTTTTAAACTATAATTTTATTATATTTTAAATACATGCTCAAAGGACATATAAGTAAAAATAAATTTCTGCTACTGGCTTTGCATAAGTTCTGCTACTGTTGTGCGCTTAGCCGGCTTTGCGTAGTATTCAGCCGAAGTAAGCTGGATGCTGCCACGTTGACGTGATTCTGTAGTCGCTGTTTGTGAGCTATCACGAATCGTTTCGTCACTTCAGTGACAGTTGAAATGCCAAGATCACGATGTAGATCGGTGTTTCTTACGTAGAATGGCGCATTTACTATGCCTCGAAGCACTTTGTTTCCCAAGAATTGTATGCCGTAAGTCCTGACTGGCCTTAGAATTTGTTTGTATACGAGAATTTTGTTGTGTATTGACAATCTTGAGCTTGAGCGCTTATCACTGAGGTAATAGAATTTGTTTAATTTAAAATCAAGCTCATCTCGTTTTTCTTGACGTAAGATTTCTAGCGCAATTTGGCGTCGAGTGTAATACGCAGGTATTTGGCTTCGTCGAAGTATGGGATTATTGACGCGTCAATGAAAGTTGGTTTATATGATGTTTTTTTTTAAGGAAACATGTAAAATTCAAATTCTTATCTCGCGGTGTGTTACCTCCATATCTCAAGTGTAGTTTGGACTTCTGAATTCAGATTTCCATCATCGTCCCATCATCGAAGCAGCCCGAGTCTTGAAATTATTTGATTGCTGCCTTATATTCTTATAGAATTTTAGCGCCGCATCCTTGTCTGCAAGCAGCGTGAAATCTTTGCACTCACTTCTTTCTGCTGTTGTTATTTTTTTTTAAGGCGTGGCCATTAGCTGCAGGATGGGCTGGTATGCTACAGGTGTTGACTGTTGGATCAAATGCGCCTTCTCTGTTCACCTTCGCCAAACACGATTTTATCGTAGTGACCGGTGACAGCGCTCATACGTATCTCACAGGCGCTCATAATCGCTTTTTGAATTTACCTTATCCTTCGGTCGCACTTATTGCCGAACAAGCGCTGCTGACTTGTGTGAGGCGTTAAACCGAATAAGCCGGAGTGACCACACCGAAGCTCCTTCTCTTCGTTCTGGTGTGATCCGAAGCTGTGCGCTGGTTGCTAATGTTACTCAAATTGTAGAAGTAGGAGTTGGTATTGGGTATAGTCGCGTATCTGTAATCGCATATCCAGAGGAACACCCTTATACTAGGTTTACATATAAGTAGATTATCCTCATTTTCGAGCTTAAAAAGAGGAAAAGAGATTAGCCATACCAAATTCGTCCCTCGTTAATCTGTAATTATAAAATAATCTCGGATCAAACCGATACCTTTTCGGTGTCCAACCTAGTTTTATGGATTATTTTTGCGAAGAGAAAAAACGCCAAATGAAAAAGTAAACGAAAATGGACGCTAGCAAGAAAAGGTATTTTTAAACAAATATTAAGCTAAAATATATTTAAATTGCTTAATTTAGCAGAAAAAAGTGATCACGGTGGCACAGAAAAGGCACTTAACTTTTCCTTGAGATGTGAGAATAAAAAGCACAGCAAATTTGATCTGAGATTTGCCTGTGTAAATGGGAACGATTAACAAACGAGCTTTGATTGAGATTATATTTACGTGTGAACATACTTTTACCATATTACCTTTAAAAAAAAGGGGGAAGCGTCGCTAAGAAGCAATTAAAAAGGGTTGCAGCGGGACAATAATTTGTGTCGCCACTAAGCTAACTTAGAATTTCGTTAATTGCGGAAAAAGATCTAAATTAAAAAAAGTAAAATCCAAAGCATGTTAATATATTATGCCGCATCGTTCTAGGCCTGATCCGAGCTTGCCGCTTTTTTGTTTTTATTGGGGTTCATCTAATCCTTCAATCGTTGTCGTCCGGGTCGGCCAAAGGGGTAGGGTGGGTTAAAGACTGTAAAGATTGGGAAGACGTAATTTCTCTCATGCGGGTAGCTTTCACATGCGCGAAATACGTATAAATTTAAACCGCCACAATATGTAGGCCATATGTGCCAGAGTAACGCGGGTATCTCGAGATACCTACAGCTCTGGTGCTTCAACTCCAATGACGACATTCACAGGGTAGTAGTTTTTGTGAAACTGGTGATTGTCTATCGATAAATGTCATTGATTGCCTGTCTGTTATTGTTATACGTAGCTGTGATCCTTGTCCTTCAGTGCTTGGTTGGATATGCCGTTTCCTGTTTGGTTGCGCGCGCCGGTAGCGGTTGACTAGGAGCTGCATGCTCAACATTATGTTGGTTTGGGAATCGCTAATTTGTTTGGCTATATAGATATAGCCGAGCTTCCGATTTGCGGTATATTTACTTTCATCGTACACTGTACTCATAGATCAACATTCATGTCTAAATACTCCAGTGAAGTTGACTTGCAACATAATTTCCCAATACAAAATTTTGTCGGTTAATCGAAATTTCTAAATAATGCACAGCATATTAATTACAAAAGTGCAACAACAAATTCTTGTTGTTTTTGTCGATATCTATCTTTTAAGTGGAAATTAGTTTTGGTATTTCTAATTTTCTCATTAACTTCGTGTTGTCTGACTTCAACCAGTTTTCACTCATTTACACAGTTCTTTGCGCAAAATGAATTGTTGACAGATTTGGATCAACTACACATACAAATGAGCATATGTATGTATGTATCTGCATAATTTCCCTGCAAAAAATTGTGCGACTAATCTCTAAAGAGAGTATTCCGAGATTACTCTCAATCGGGTACAATTGGGCATTAATTAGTCGCAACTAGTCTCATACGGGTACTAATGGAGGTCAATTAGTCTCGACTCATCCCTTATGGGTATAATTTGAGATCAATTAGTCCCCAACTCATCTCTAACGGGTACTATTAAAGATTTAATGATATGTACGCTCTTATTCAATGAAATTTCATGTGCGGCGTTGGCACACAGAGAGAGTATTCGCCTAACAAAACTGAGCACCCCGGTTCGAATCTCGGCTGGCGCAAATTTTTATTTTTATTTTTTTAAAGTGACTAGTCGCTTTTTATACCCTTTCGGGTATAAAGGTGAACAATTAGTCTCTTCATAGGACATGCCCGAACAAAAGCGATCAGTTGATTCCATATAAAGAGATCAAAAGTGGTATTAGTCGCATGCTCCTTTGCGATTGCTCCCGGAGTCATCCCGGATTAGTCCCATTTTTTGCAGGGTTACATCTGCCCATCAAAACACAGAACTTACTTGTGTATGTAGATGCACTCCTTCACTCACAATAGTACTCACAGATATGAATATAATTATTTGTTACATCATAAAATCAATTGATTTTCACTCTAGTTTATATTAACAATTTTCCCATTTAATTTTCCATTTGCAGGTAAAAGCATCTGATGCCAAATATTTGCAAGTCATACAACAAGTAAAAGCGCACGGCTCCTTGCAATACAAGGTTAAGATACTGCATGAACTGCCAACGGATGAGCAATTATTTGTGCATGTCCATTCACCAACAACACAACAAGACATTGAGGTAAGCCAACTAGTACTATGTATGTAGTAGTAAATAATGAATTATCACCACAAAATGTTGGCCAAGAGAGATGGCGAATGCTATAAATACATATACAGTGACTCAGAAAAGTGTCACGTGTTGTCTTTTTTTATAAACATTGACAGTATTTTTCGTGTAACATTTTTGTGTTGTTATTTTTCTAAAAAAATATTGTCCAAGTTTTAACCAAAACCATATAAAACTAACTATCGGTGACAAATTCTTGTCGCAGTTTTTTCAAGGAAAAATATATTTATATTTTTATTTATTTATATTTATATTTTATATTAAATATATTTATATTTTTTAAATTTAGGAAATTTCCACAAATTTTTATAAGAACTTCACAATTTTGAAGTTTTAGCAATTTTTTGAGAATGTTTGTTGTTTAGTCCATAAAATTATAGCCTAATGAAGTACAAGGTTTAAGCGATTAAAAATAACGTAGATTTTTAATAATTTTTTTCTTTTGGTGACTGCCTTTGCGGTTTTTTTTTTTTTAATATAAAAAGTGCAATTCATAAGAAATTCAAAAATATGGAGAAAAGACAAACACGTATGAGCAAAAAAAAAATAAAAAAATTAGATTCTTAAAATTTGCACTTTATATATGAAATTAAAATATGAAAAAGGTTCAGATTAAGTAAAAATTTGTTGAATGTTTCTGAATCAGCTATGACTTCTACCCTCTAGACATAATCGTGGTACAAAGCTCAATAACAATATTGTAATGATATCGTTTTGGTTAAAGCTGGGAAAATGTTTTTATAAAAAAAAATTACAAAATCTCTCGAGTTTTTTTTGGTGTCATTCCCTTTTATCGCTAGAAAACAAAACGATAGAGAAACAAGTACAATAAAAAATAAATAAATTATTTCAATAATTTTAGCCCTAAAACGTCTATTTAGGCGAAAAAGTAATGAAATTACTCATATTGTCATTGCCACCCGAAAAAATCATTTTTTTTTTAAATAACTTTGAGAAGTTTTCAAATAGAATGTTCATGTTAGAGACAATGAAAGTTGACGTCATATACAACATACCTGTGAAATTTCAAGGGTGTGCCACCAAATTAAAAAAAATTTCAGCATGCAGAATATCAGTGGCAGCTGTATTTATAAGATCGGCATTAATATCTCCGATGACGGTCAAGTCTTAGGTGGATTTTTATATTAGAATCTCATTTTTGTGAAAATAGCAGATAGGGGGTATTGAATATAAGCCCTCGATATATCAAAAACTACTATAGTTACAAGAATGGTTCTTGTGTCGTTTTAAAATTACTATTTGGGGTTGTATAAAAAAATGTATGTATTTAAAAAAATTGAAAAATGAAAATAGTTGCAGAATTTTGAAATAAAAAAAATAAATCGTAAAAGCAAAAATAAATATTTTGCAAACTTTTTTTTTTACAATACCCCTAGCTGATCTTAAAAGATCCCGGAATGTCCAAGCTGTTTTTGAACAGATACGAATTTTAGAACCTCGAAACTATTTTTTGTTTCATATTATTAACAAATTATTTATTTAGAGTTTGGAAAAAAATATTTTATTTATCTAAAAAAAAAATCATCTTGAAAATTTACGGATCTTTTAAGATCACTTGGAGGTATTTTGTAAAAAATTTGAGCCAAAAGTTTTACTTTTACGATTTTTTAATTCAAAAATTCAGCTTTCTTGTATTTTTCGGAACTGTTTTGTACACATATTTGCTTTATAGTCTTAAATATCACCTATAAAACGAAACTAGCACCATATTTGTAACTGTAATAGTTCTTACGTCCTATAATAA